GGAAAGGAAAATGGGAATATGTCACAGGATATATAAATGTGTTTTTAACCTTTGACCCACTAAATTGTAGGAAATAAGATATCCAAGTAATCTGAAAGTTTCCACACTAGTGAAATGCTTTGTAAATTATAGTGCATCCATTTAATAGAATATTATGCAGCCATTAAAAAGACAGTAAGAAAACTCAACATTTGGAAACATTCAACCAATAAAATATACATTATTTTTAGCTTATGCACTATTCTGGAATATCAGTGTGGCTTTTTCACTTTTCGTAGACAATTCGAGAAATAAGGTCATATAAATTTATACTACCCTTTTTAAGAAATGTTAATTGTAAAGTTAATACTGTATATTTTCAGAGAAAAAGTCCCCTCCTTTCTTCATTCTCAAAGAAGTGCTTTATTGTAGTCTTTCAAGAAAGCCAGGAAGCAAGTCTGTTTGTTCCTTAGCAAGCTCTGTTGGTCATATAAGGGCTTGTCAGCAGTGTTTGTTAATGTAGCCATTCTAAGAAGGCCTCTGAGCATCTAAAGCAGGTTCACTGTATGTAAGTGCCTGGTGTCTGAAACGGAACTCATTTTAATCTTAGTATGCTTAGCTCTTCCTTAACACATTCGATTAAGTTTCAGGGTGAGTTCAGTTCAGAATTCCTGAATATTTATCTGTTCTCCCCAGCTCACTAAGCAATACTTAGAGAATAACCGTGCAGATAGATGGTAACCCGGTTAACGATTGCGTGCTGCACTGTGCCAAGAGGAATCGTCGTGCTGGTTTGTACTTCTAGCACCTTAGGACTTTCTTCTACCTACCCCACCGCCACGTGCTGTGTTCCAAATGCAAAAATCTTCTAGTAGGCATTAACTAAGGGAATTCACACAAAAGTATTTTCCCAAATATTGAGAGTTGGTTGTTTGTTTGTTTTTTATTTTTAAGCCCACTGACAAGGAACTGAGACAGACCGTAGCATTGCTGACAGCTCAGCAGACTGCTCTGGAAATCATTGTCAACATGTGCTACAGTGAAGGTTTGTTACCATTTACATCTAGACATTTATCCCCTGGGCTAAGAGGGTCTGCCATGGAGATTTTCCTAAACATCCCAGTTCTGTGTGGTTTACACTCTTCCCAGATCCCTCCGATGATGAATGGGAAGAGCTTTCTAGCAGTGATGAGAGCGATACGTTTATGGAGAATTCCTTCAATGAGTGCGCTGGGCAGCTGCTCTCGCCCCTGTGCCTCTCCCATGAGATTCACACTGCTCTCACCAACTACCTCATCCCAAAGAAGGTAATCTGTTTTCATTCTAGGCCCATCATGGAGCATGGGAAAGGCTTAAGCAAGCTATTCATTCTGTGTGCGAAAAAGAATTAAGCTCACAGTTTCAGGTTGTAGATAATGGTAACATCTGAGACACAAAACCAAACTCTGTTAATAATAGTGCTGGAAATAGGTTAAAAGGTTATTCTATCCTTATCAATCCTAACCATTTTGCTTAGAAGTAGAGTATGTTGGAATTTTATAAAGGAATCGTGTAAAATGACTACTCTTTAACCTTTGCTGTACTGCCTTTTTTAAATCTAGATTTTTGAGAAAACTGCCTTTCCAAACAGCATTGCAGTCGACCTATGTTCTAGAAACCCTACTTGGAAAACTTTGATTAGAAAGTAAGAACTTTTATATTTTCAAAAGCATTTGTCTTTATGGTATTATATGATGATGGACCATTAAATAGAAGATGCTGACTCCCCCCAAGACTTAGAAGTTTCGCTCCTGGGTATATACTGTAGAAAAACATGTGCACATGTGCCCTGGGATACACATACGAGGATGCCCATAGCAATGTGGTTCACATTGCCCAGCCTGGAAACAGCCGCGATGTTTATCAGGATTAGAATGGGTAAATAAGTTCTGACATAATCGTGCAGTAGAATGCATATAGAAGTGAAAAAGATCTGAATTGGAACCATTCACAGCATGGAAGAAACTT